CTACACCCCCTGCCGGTACGAGACTCGAACCCACAACCTTTGGGTTACGAGTCCGTCTCTCTAACCATTAGGCTCTAACCACTTTAGAGTACACTTTTAAAAAGTTTAATATGTAATAATATAAATTTCACATCTGAGATTGTATACACACACATACACACACACACACATTAGAGATTTTTTCAGCTATTATGGTAAATGTTTTCTAAAGTATAAAGCATAACACAGGGTCATTATACTAAAATACTTTTTAAAGCAAATAAATGTTAACTGAAATAAAATACAAATAATTATAAGTACTGAAATAACTAATTAAACTAAAATTAATTTAAAAAATCTAATTTAAACTAATAAAGATTACAAAAACACAACAAAATTACTAAAACTAAAGTAAAATAGTATTAAAATAAAATCTAAAGTTTTAGTAATTGTGTATTTTTAGCTTTTTTATTGCTATTTAGTACAGTTAAAATATTTTAACTTTAAACTTAATATTGAATGTGTTATTTTAGTATCACTATGATGCTTTTTTATGATTAATATTTTTAATCCGTTTATATTTTTTTATATTATCATATTAAATCATGTTTTAGTAATTTTGTGTTTTTGTCATTTTTGGTATATAAACACACATATATTTGTGTTTATGTGTCTATATAGTTTCTTTTTTATTATTTATTTTTATGTCAGTTTTTTATTTCAGTTCTTCAGTTTAAACTAAGTGAAATTGTTGCTTCAGAAACTAGCTGAAATCAAATATAGACTTTAGACTTCAAAACACTTTTTTTTTAAATGGTTTTGGTTTTAGTTTTAGTTAACGATAATAATCCTGGATCACACATTGTTCTGAGACTTTACCTGCTTTTAGCTTCATCACAAGGAGGATTTGTGAGTCTGATTGAGATTTTATGTAAGCATCAATTTTTCAAAGATCTGAAAACATGTTTTTCAGAAGAAGGAAAGAAAAACCTTCAGAATCCAGACAAGACGACAGATCTGGACTCATTCTGACAGTGAGTTATTCATCCTCAAAGACATTACAGACAGTCGTGCAGCAGATCTTCTTCACTCATTTTGCCGTTTCTTCTCCATCAGGCCGTTTCTCTGGATAATGACAGTGAGTTTGTTTACGCCAATAAAGGCATGCGGTCATCCACGGCACCGAGTGCACCTGAATCTCTTCATTATTCCTCCATCGACTTCACAAACGCTGACCCGCCGTCAGGAGAGATCAGGGGCATCGCCTCGCTGACCAGTGAATACGCTGCGGTCCGACAGCGTCCTGCAGGAGCCGCAGACGCAGAGAACAACACCTCAACATCTGAGACAGAGCCCAAAAAACCAGACATGACAGCAAAGATCACGGACACGTCCTCACCGGCATCAGAAGACGTGATTTATGAAAACATGAGCCATCGCTACAGACCGAAGGAAGCGCTGGTCAGCGCAGATGATGCTGAAAAACAAGACTGAACCAAAACCTTTGAATCTTTGAGCACCGATTTAAGAGATCCTTCATCCAAAAATATCAATTACAAACCTACAGAACTTTCTTTCGCGATTATGGTAAGGGGCGTTACATTTCCGACGAGTGCTTGCGGTGTTCGGCCAATCACAATGCACTGGGTCAGCTGGCCAATCAGAGCAGACTGCGCTTGTCGGAAGGAGGGACTTTGTAGAAAACGAAGCGTTTGAGAGAGGCGGGGCATAGAGGACCTACAATAATGTACAGTATTTGAAAAATAATGTGTTTTTTGAACATTAAAGCATGTCAACATATTCTGTTACACCAAATACACAAAATAATGATATTTAAAAAAGCATCATATGACCCCTTTAAAAACTAATGGCAGGTAAAATTGCAGAACATTTTGTCTCAGAATACAGGCAACCCTGTAATCATGCAAACAGTGATCACAAACACACTGCAAATGTGAGCTATTCAAAGGCTAAAAGCACCCAAGAGGAAGTGAAACACACAAATTACAACTTTGGCAACCTGTTTCCTAAAAGAATTAAAGGAGAAGCGCAAAACGGGAAACATTCATGAATGAGGGTTTAGGTTTAAACCACTTACCACAGAGATGAGGGCGGGAGCACACATTAATGATCTTAAACACATTTTCTGATTCACTTCCGTCTGTGAAGATTCATCCTGCGGTCATCATAAATGATCTTGATATTAACACATTAATCATCAAGAATCACATTTGACTGAAATCCATCCTGACAGATTTAGAAGTTTATTAAATATCATAAACCGCTCATATGGCTAAACTCGGTCTTTCTCTGCTGCCATCTAGATATAAGAGTTTACACCTCAAACACCCCGATAATGGTGCAACCAAAACAAGTGCAGTTTTCTTGAAACCGGAAGTTGTGGCCAGGCATTTTATTTAAATCTGCTTGGTTCATATCGTAACCTGACCAAACCACACTTCAAAATTAACAAATTCAAGCCACTTCTTTCACAACCAGTTCGTGGAATGACATTCTCACGCTATATTTAAATTAATTTGAATAATTAGTCTGTTTTCTGAAAGACTGTACATTTATATATGTGCTGAAAGTTAAAGATGAGCTCAGAGCTACAGGATAAAGCAGCAAAAGACACATTTTCATTTTGTGTTAACTTTATAAAGTAAATGTACGTTTTTTTTTTTACCTTGAAATATCAGTTTCAGAATCACTCTGATGGTAAAACGACTTTTAATAAGACGAATAAATGTTTCTTCTTTTTTCCAAACGTGTTTTCTGGGAGTAGCAGCTACAGGATAAAGCAGCAAAAGACACATTTTCATTTTGTGTGAACTTTATAAAGTAAATGTACGTTTTTTTTTTACCTTGAAATATCAGTTTCAGAATCACTCTGATGGTAAAACGACTTTTAATAAGACGAATAAATGTTTCTTTTTTCCAAACGTCTGTTTTCTGGGAGTAGCAGTAACGGTCAACGTGGATCACGTGTGCCTTAATAACCAATCACATTACAGCCTTGACGTCATTTCATTTCAGTCAGAGTTGTGCGACACTCAATCGCCGTTTACGGATCCCATAGGAATGAATGAGAAGTGCCGTAAGCTGAATCCCACCTGTCGCAAAAAGTCAGTGACTTCTCTTATAAAACGGCATTTGTTTCCCGGTGTAAACTCTAAAAATAGTTCAATCCAAAAGTACGGTTTAGTGTAAAACATGTTGAAGATTAATTAAATGATCAACTGTTTCCTCTAAAAAGCTGTTTATTCAGTGGCAGCCATTCAAAAAAAATAAATAAATAAAAAATAAAAGCGGAAGTGTTAGCATTAGCGGTTACACTTTTTTAAACAAAATTGTAAAGTTGTAAATGACTGTAAATTAAGTTTTTTTTTTGGAGTACATTTTACAAGAATTTCTCAAAACTGTGTTTAATTCAGTGTGTTGCTGTCTCTTTGTAATTATTTCTCAAATCTGCTAGCAATTTCTGAGTAAAAATGGTTTCAAAGTAAATCCTACACCATTTTTTTTCAGTGCATTAACAAAAAAAATAACGAGATTTTTAAAAACTATTATAACTATGGTGTAAACGTTTGTTATATATTTAATAACAAATTAAAGGTATATATATATATATATATATATATATATATATACACACTTTTTTAAATTGTCTGTGCACCTGCCTTTAAATTAAAAATTTGCAGGTCAGATTTCATACGCACATGCCACAACACCTCAGAGCGTTGAAACTTTCCAGCCATGTTCATGACCTGAAATAGTCACACACTTTCAAGACAGACATTCTTACCTGTATTCCTGAAAACCCAAAAATGTGTTGCAGGTCAAATTGACCCAGAACATAAAACATACAAAACCAGTTCTGAATATTATTCCATGTTTGTGTTGATATTGTTTCATAGTGTGGTGAAATAAAAGATGAAGACAACCAGGAACTTGGTCATTTCAGTTTATTTTATCATGAATTCTTTTGCAACAAACGGTCAAGCACACAATTGATCAAAGTACAGTTTTTCATTCAAGGACCTCGACCGTACAACACATCATGGAGACAAATGTTGAGCAGAGGAAGGTCAGCCACTACTGCGAAAATCTCATGTAAAAAGCAAACACGCGTTACATTGGAAAAAAAGAAACGTTTTCAGTAGGGGACTTTTCTTTTAAAAAATCATTTTACTGCAAACCCAATGCAGCTCAATCACCTCATCTGTACAAACATCAGTGGCAGAGCACAAACGCTTGAGATTGTAAAGATCACGTTGGCAGTAGAAGCTTCATTTGAAAGCTCAGCTTGGCTTAAAAAAACGTTGGTTGCCGTTGTTAAGACATCAAGGTGTTCGTTTCTCGTAGAAAAATGGCTGTGTTTTTCATGTCTGGAATGCTCTAAGAGGAGATTTTAGTGTGCGTGTGCTTCCTCTACTGAGACTCATAACGTGCAGGAGAAAAAACATCTCAAATCACCTAAAGTAATCGCTGCACTACTGCTAAACGAGCTGAGGAAGACGCATGAATACTGTGTGCGACATACAAAAGACCGGACGACAGAAGGCAGACACGTCTTAGCAATAGACCTCCAGGGGGAGTGTAGAAAAATGAACACTCATGAGATCCTCAAATAGTGTCGATTGATCACGATGCTGTAAAACTGTACGAAATATTAGCCGTCAGGTTTATATTCAACCGCTGGCGGAGTAGTAGATTCATAAAACGTTATAAATGCACTCATTTTGGCTCATCTGACAAGCAAACAGAAATAAAAGTGCTTCAGAAAGGTGAAAAAGCAAACGATAACAAAATAGAAACGTTTCTAGAAGGAAGAAGCACAGGTTGTGCTGCATAGAAACTACCAAAGTCAATTAATGAAAAGCTGGTTTCATCCTGAAATCGGATGAAAAGGTTTGCAGGTTTAAGTCCCTTTACGTCTCTAGATTCAGAGCACTTTAAACAGTGGTCAATACACATAAAACAACATTGAAATAGAGACTCGACGCTTTTATTCTTCACTTTTCGCTTTTCTTCAAAAAAATATGGGAAGCCCTCAGTCATTTCCGGAAATAGATGTTCTTAACCAGCCTTTGATTCACCCTCGCAAATATACATTTGTACATTTTTGGTATGTATATCATCTGAAAAGGAATATATTTATATATCTAGAATATTTACAGACCGATGAAACTATCTTACGCCCGTCTACAGACAGAAATATCCTCATCTAACACTCGCAGAAAGAGTCTGACGCTAAACTGTGTGTTCTGCTGTACAAACAGAAAAATTAACAGACATAAATGGGTGAAACGGGTCGAGTATGTCATATTTCAAAGAAATTTGGAAAAAAAATGTCATTTTATATTTTAATATTTTCTAAATTGAATTATTAATCAATAATAATAATTCAATAAAATAAATGTAAAAAAATTAAAGTTATATTTATTATTTATATATACATTTAATTTATTAAAAATAAGTACAATTATAATAAATTACAATAATTATATATAATATTTTATATTAATTGTTAAATAAAAATGTATTTAATATTTAAAATGTAATAATATAACAGTATTTATTTTTTACAGTAATACTGTAAAAGCACTGTATTACAGTAATGAGAATTGACTTTTAGAATAATTCTAGAATCGTTAAAAAATGCATTAAATTTGGTGGTAAAAGTGCTTAATTGTCATGAAAATGTTATTTTAGGAACTATTTTAGTTCCTTAAAAATAGGCTGCATTTTCTTCATGAATAGACTTTTTTTCTTTTGATTTTGAGTGTTTATGATTAAACTGGTGGATATACAGTTGAGCAAGCGACGACTTGGCAAAAAAATGTGTGAGATGTTATAAATGCATCAGATCTGTTGGCCTTTCCCTCCGAACGCAGCAAACGAAACAAGAAAAAAAACACAAAACCGAAAGAGTTTTCCGGCTTGATCACATGGTATTAGAACAGACAGGACACAAACGAACCGTTAAAAGACAAACACACACTCACAAAGAGTGAGAAATGGCTGAAAACAGCAAAGCTTTGAGCGGTAAGTCATGGACACCTCGAAGATCCAGTGGTCCGAAACACTGTCTGTAGTCGAGAAGGCTAAAATCATCAGAAGACACAAAGGCAGCGTCTCTGGATTTTGGATGGTGACGAGAATGTAAAGGAGAAACTGTAAAATGCAGTTGCATATATAATCGGTATTAAGGACAGTCGTTATAAAAGAGGACACCTTTAAAAACATTACATGGAGGAGTCAGGTGGAGCGAGCAGCCGGTGAGGAAAGCTAAAGAAACACCTGTGTGTGTGTGTGTGTGTGAATGGCTGAAGACACCTCTGGAAGAGGAAGTGCTCGGAGGATGAGGACACACACTTCCTGTTGCTCCGGTCATTGGGTCAGAGTGCTGGAAGCCCTGAAGTAGGACAGGAACTTGAAGCACAAGCTCACGACGAAGTACCAGATGTTCCTGGCCATCTGAGAGCGAGCGATGAAGACGCGCCAGATGAAGACCAGCAGCACCGTGTTGAACGTGTATCGGATGTTTCTCAGCCTGTGAACGGAGGATCAATAATTCAATGAAACACCAAACACTATTGATACAAGACTATCAACTTGCAAACTCAGTGTGTGTTTAATCAAGCTTCCTCTTCTCTATGGACAGGCTGCAGTGTGTTTACAGGCCATTATTTATTCACCATCACACAAAGCTTTCATATGTATTATTATATGCTAATGATAGAATCATGATAATGACAATTTTTTTTTATAATTTCTATTTTTCAATACATGCAGTTTTATTTTTATTATATGTTAATGATATAATCGTGATAATGTTTTTTTTTTAATAATTTCTATTTTCCAATACACTCTGTTTTATTTTCTCAATTTTCTATACATCTATAATATAATATATAATTTTTATATAATATAATTTCCAAAACATGCTATATTGTCTGATTTTCTATTCTATTCTATTTCTGCAGATATTTTATTTAATATAATATAATATATAATAGTAAAAAGTTTTAATCAGCAAGGATGCATTAAATCGTTTAAAATTGACAGTATCTACAGTCATAATAATACATTTATATTATATTGCATTATTACATTATAATTCATAATAATTTTTCTATTTCTGCATTTCCAAAACGTTATATTGTCTGATTTTCTATTCTATTCTATTTCTGCAGATATTTTATTTAATATAATATAATATATAATAGTAAAAATAGTTTTAATCAGCAAGGATGCATTAAATCTTTTAAAATTGACAGTATCTACAGTCATAATAATACATTTATTATATTATTATTCAAGGACTATATTATAACATTATAATTAATAATAATTTTTCCATTTCTGCATTTCCAAAACATGCAAAACATTGTCTTATTTTCTAATTTCTATCTTATGTTATTTCTATAATATAATACAACATAAAATAATATATAATATAATATATGACAGTAAGAATGCTGTCATTAATCTGCAAGGATGTATTAAATCCACTAAAAATAGCGTAAATACATTTTAATAATACATTTATATAGTGTATTATAATTAATAATAATAATAATAAAACAATTTTTTTCCTTTTTTCTTTTCTAATTTCCATTTTTTTCTATAGATATTTCATTTGAATATAATATACACTACCCTTCAAAGGTTTGTGGTAAAGAATTAATACTTTTAACTTCAATTTGAGCTGTAAAGCAGCTCTACAGAAGACTATGGTGTCGTTATTCAGCTCAGTTCAGTTCAATAACAGTGTAAACGTATCATCAGGTGGACGTACTTCCTCAGGTGCTGTCTGGCGGCGGGAATGTCTGACATGTCCTCGTTCAGAACGTACTTCTTGGTGCCGATACAGTAATTCTCGATGTACTCGGGCCAGTTCAGCTGACGAACGTCAAAGTTGAAGGTCTGAAAGATCAGGAGGAAGAGTTCAGCAGAGTTTGGTCCACAGACTGTCAGTGTGTTCATGCGGTGTGTGTGTGTGTGTGTGTGTGGCCGTACCCTCCTGTCCTCGGCGCTCAGCTGACTCATCAGCATGTTCATGTTGTCGGAGTTCCACTCCCAGTCCTGACTGCTGAAGTACTCCAGCAGACCGATGGCTTTGTGCAGACGGTTGAAAATGCGCATCATTCTGAATGAACACAGGTCACACAGACATGAACACTCAATGGGCGAATTCCAAACACCCTTGAAGGGCACTTCGGGAAGGGGACGCCATTTGTAGAGACGTTCCAAACGAAAGTGAACAACTGAATCCCTTCACGAAGGGCCCTTCCAAAAGTCCGTTAGCGAAGGGAACATGCGATGGTCACGTCACGGAAGTGAATTCCGTTTGTGATCATGTGATCTACGGTTAGTAGATCTTGGATGCTTTTTAAAGCAAAGTTGGGTTTGATTTCGACTTCACATACAAACGTAAATAGAATAGGCATGTCTATTTTAATGCAAGACAAAATATTTTTCGTCAGTGATAGAAATATGATTTAAGACGGTAGTCAAACGCTTATACGAGACAGTAATGCCCTGCACCCTTAAAAGAACTCTGCCCTTCGAAGGGAGTAGGGCATAGGGATGCTCACTTCCGTTTGGAATTCGCCCAATGACAATTACACCATCATAGATATTTGTTTTGTATCTATTTCAGTAATATAATACATAAGAAATTATATTAATATGTATTATGATTAAATTATATGAATTATTCATATTAATAATAAAATAATTACTGATATTTCTAATTATGTTAACAATGCATGCATTTTCTCATTTCTATAGATATTTTATTTCTATAATATAACAAATATAATAATGTATTAAACAACATTCATTATTAATTTTAATAATCATAAATGTATATTATACTAAGTGTATATAATTTATATATTGACAATATATTTTTCTAATTTCCATACATATTTGATTTCTATATGTTAATAATTATTAATAATCATATTACATTCAAGTATATTAAATTAATAATGTAATAAATACCAATATTTCTATTTATATATTAACAATAATTTTTTTCTAATTTCTATAGACATTTCTCTTATTTCTATAATATAATATAACATTTTACCAAAACATGCTATTTTTCTAATGATTTGTTTTCTATAGATATTTTATTCCTACTTCTATAATACAAAATATGTTATAATTCAAAAGTTTGGGGTCAGTAAGATGTTAAATGAATTAATACTTTTATTCAGCAAGGATGCATTAGCAAGAGTGACAGTAAAGGCATTCATAATAAAAGATTTCCAATTCTATTTCAAATAAACGCTGGTTTTTTTCCTTCTATTTATCAAAGAATTCTGAAAAAAAAATCTAATGTATCACGGTTTCCACAAAAATATTGGGCAGCACAACTGTTTTCAACATTGATAATAATAATAATAAATGTTTCTTGAGCAGCAAATCAGCATATTAGAATGATTTCTGAAGATCATGTGACACTGAAGACTGGAGTAAATTCAGCTTTGATTACAGCAATAAATTACATTTTATAATATATATTTAAATAAAAAAAACTGTTAATTCAATTATAATAATATTTCACAATATTACTGTTTTCCCTGTATTTTTAATTGAAAAAAATGCAGCCTTGGTGAGCAGAAGAGACACTGATAAATCTTACTACCCCCAAACATTTGAATGATTACATTATATTATATTATATTACAGATCCGTGCTATTTTATCAGAACAGAACAGCTCATGTGAGTATAATGTCACTCTTAAGAGGTTGTTTTGTTCTCACTGTGGTTTCTGTCCGGACAGTCGGAGGAACAGGTCATAGATGAGCGCGGGGAACTTGTGACTGACGAGGATCCAGTACTGGTAGATCAGGTAATTGGAGGTGATGTTGGCGTTAGGCCGACGGAAAGCCTGTTCCAGAGGATTCCTCTTGAATGTGGACATCACGTGATGCTCTGGAAAGCAAACGATATTGTATATAATATGACAACTAACTAAACCACTATTTACTGAAGCATGAATCTGAACGTAACACTACACTGTTTCTGGCCGTTGGCATGGTGATGCTGGCAGCCAGATGTTGCTCATGGTAAACCCTCTATCCTGCTGTTGCCATGGAAACGCTTCAGCTGCTCTGACCAGTGATCTGCCCTCCGGCACGACACACACCGCACACATACAGTACAGTATGATCCCAGTGATGTACTGTGAGCCGTTTTTGAAACAAAGCAGTATGCATCTGCTAAAATGTGCAGTATGCAAATGCAATGCACTCAAACTGTGTGCATTGCATTGTGTCCAGTGTGAGGATTAAGTTATGCAATTATAATTTATTTTTGAACATCAGTCTGGACACCTGAATTAAATGTACTATAATATTAAACATACAACATAGTGACAATGATACTCTTTCAAACATTTAGCATTGCATACTGCATAATATTTCATATGCTTTTTCTATTAAATTAATAGTATGCACACTGTTTTGTATTTTATTTATTTGTACATTTTTGTATTTTCAATGAACCTGAAGTTATGCAATTATGATTTATTTTTAATTTTGAGAGTCTTTCCAAGTCAAATTCCTTGTGTGTATAAACATACTTAGTAATAAAGCTCCTTCTGACACCTGGAATTAAACATGCAACAGCGACAATAATACTGTTTCAAACATTTAATGCATACTATTTTATATGCTTTTTAACAGGATTGTACAATATAAAAAATATTTAAGTTGTAAATAAATTAAAATTCTTGGAGTTCATTCAGGTTTTCTACTTCAAAATTTCATGTTTAATTCAATGTGTTACTTGCAGTTTCTTTGAAATTAGTTGTGAAATTTACTAGCAATTTTTGCAACTACTGTTTACAACATGCATACTGCCTTAAAAAAAAAAAAATTTAAAAAAATAGTATGTACACTGTAAAAAAATTTAAAATAAAATACTGTAAAAATATTAGTGTATGTTTTACAAGACAATACCATTTCAGTCTTTCTACTTTTAAAATGTCATGTTTAATTCAACAGTTTACTTCAATTTCTTTGAAATGATTTAATTAATATTTAAACAATAATACAATGTAATACAATACTGACCATAACACGGTTTCAAACATTTATTGTATACTGCATACTATTTCTAAAAAAAATATTCATTTTTCAAAGTTGCAAAACAAAAGTATTGAGAATTAAGAACAAAAAAATGTTCGGAGTTAATTTTACAACAAAATACCATTTCAGTTTTTCTACTTATTAAAAACAATTTATTTGTAAAATTTGTTAAAAATTTGAGTAAATGCTCCAACACTGTAAATCCAACTGTATAGCTAATGTATCTATTTATTTATATGTATTTTCTATATTTATTTTCTCTCTCTACTATATTCTGTCTTCCATTTATTCTAATTCCTTTTATTCACATCATTTCTTCATACATTCTGTATTCAATTTTTTATCATGCACATGCATGTCCTAAACTCGTTGTTGTTTCTGTGTGTTGTTGCACTGGGAGATGAGGAACTAAGGAAAAACATTTCACTACATTACATCACATGTATGTAATATGTATTGTATAGAAAAGCATGTTACGCACCGATCTCGCCCCAGTGGAAAGGGTTAATGCCTCCGGTTGTGCAGTTGTACACGAGTGCAGTTTTCGGTCTGAAATAAAAACACAGAACAAGGAAATCACACCGTGCCACATGTGAACAACCGCACATTTCCGCCTTACGCAAATACATCAGCGGAGGGATATTTCATGCTAATATTCTCCGTTTAATGACCTGCGGGTCTAGCATAAGCAAATCTCACCTGTGCACCGCGGTGTACCAGCCGGCGGCCAGCGTCAGGTTTATAACCACGTCTACAGGAATCAGATCGGCCACCGCGTCATTACTGGCTCTCATGGTGCGCAGGATGCCCTTCCCAGCCTGCACCGGGACACACAAAACACACGCTTCTTCAGAGAGGACGCCAAACGCACCATGAGCCTTTGTTTGGCTGTGAGCTTCACGGAGGAGTTTAGGAGGCTGAAATGGCTTAATGACTTCAGGAAATACAGACTAATTAAAAACGGGGGCAGATTGTTTTCATCGCTTTGAATCTTGCCAGGTCAGCGAGTGATGCGAGGAGGTACAATATCATTTTTACGGATGTTAAAACACCTTGTTGTATACTAATTTCAGTGCAACTTAAAAGCCTTTAAAACTGCTCTTTTAATGTTTAGGTCTGTTTAGTTTGTCCATCATAATTTAGCCTGACATATAAAATAACTGTCAGAGAAATCTATTTTTTTAATGGAACAGTTTACTAAAACCTTAATATAAAAGCAAAAAATATAAAATAAAAAATAAAAATAAAATTCAAAAGAATAAAAAAAGAGAGAAAATATGCATTTTGTTGCAGATGCTGATATCTATATGACGAAAATACGACGATATTTAT